CGTATTATATTTACTGTTTAATTCCTTTCCCTTAACTTCCATCCTGGTCAGGACCAGGAAACAAAACTTCAGGAAGTTCCCTTTAGAGATTAATATGCTTGACCTTTCATACTTTCTTCCACACTATAATTATTCAACAAGTCTTTTTTATTACCTAGAATAGATAGATTGTAATAGATAAGGTTTGAACATCCACTACATTCTAACTGTCGGGCAATATATTATTTGTGCGAACGACCCGCGGACCGGGCCACTGAAAATTATCGCTGTTAAACTTTCTACAGGATGAGATCTATATCTTTTTCACGATTATTTTCTTGAAAAGTTCGAAAAGAAGGAGCGATTCAAACAAATTAACTTAAAAATATAAGAGCGTAACGGTCTTAGTAGGTTACGACAAATACTCTTTGAGAAATGTGACAACTTCGAGAGAGCAACTGTTTACTGAAGTGGTGAATTCAAATCCGGGATTGGACCAATCTTTTGTAAATTGGACCAGGAAATGTACATCTCTGTGCATGGCTAGATGACCAATGTACATCTTTAGGTAGAGAGAGCATTTGTCAAAAAGTTATCTTCGGAATAAACAAGTGACCTATTTTAGATCGTATTTACAATAACGTACGTTACATTTTCCATTGCTGGTTACCAAACATAAAATTGATGGATCAAACAACAAAATCACATTGAAGGTCAGTGAGGAAATAAATGTCCTTTTTCTAATAAATTTCTAGTGACATCTGTTTGTAACCCATGTCTTATTGTTCTCTAATACGGGGATAATAGATGTAGGCAAAAACGCTGAGGAGCTCAAAAAGGATTGGGCAACGGGGCGGGTCAGGTCAGTCGCATGCATAATGACCGGTCCGGAAGACTTCCTAATGTAAAGATAGGCTTTTGCCGATTTGAAGACGATCAGGATGCAGTCAGATGAGAAATTGATATTACTGCAAGTAAGTTCCTAAGTTTACCAATCAGTTTGATCGTTTTTAACACCAAGAAAACCAATGTTTTAGAGAAATTATCTAGGTAAACCGCTAGGTCATAGCGAAATTATTATTATGAGATTGGGCTACTAAACAGTTTCCTTTTATCATCGAAGAGGTAGGCAGAGGTGCACATTACGGTACTTAATGTCACTGTACAATATAACACCCACTTTTCACTATTTATGTTATGAGCCCCATGTAATAGGGGTGAGCACATTGCCATATACCGAGCACATTTCCAGACTCCGTGCTACTACTGAAATTGTTTTTGAAAAACCAGGTAATACTTTGCTTTACTCGGGAATCGAACCCGAGACCCCTTGCCCGGCAGTCGCACTTGTGACCACTCGGCCAACGAGGCAGTCAAAAATAAATAATAACTATGCTGCTACCGGGCACGAATAAAAAAAATTGACTACTAGAGACTACAGTAGCACCAGTGCCCTTAGCCGCTTGTCTATAGAGAGAGTAGAAAACTAAATTTATGGGGATGACACTGACAAGTGTCAAAATTTACGTCAATTCCATATAATTTGGTTTTCTACTCTACATGTAGACGCTCAATGGCAGTTGGCTACAGTTGCTGGTCCTACAATAAGGAAAACAAAAGCAGTAAACGAGTTTAAAATTACTTAAAACCTTAAAGCTTAACATGATGAACTGTAAACTTACTTGGCTAAGTGATTACTTAAATCGCGACGTATTTAGCCGCGCGGCTAAAATATAGCAGCGTTTTAACTAAGGAGGTTGGACGTTGATACGTTAATTACACAATGCCGTGTCTACTAGCCCATTAGGGTACTATCTGTTCGTTTACAAGCGCCTTACCTCTGCGGATATATTAACTTGAATGTGTGAGACGTATGTTTATACGTAGTCGTAGTTAGTAATTATCAAACATAAGGAATTATTGTCAAGGTTATAGAGTTTAGGTGATCTTTATGAATAGTTAATGGTTTAGTTTCGGTGATATTATACTGATTCTGCAATGTGTTTTTTGGTGGTGGTGGTTAGATGCCTTATTATGAATGTAGTTAAATACAAAGTTGAATTCATAATCATATCATCTATTTTCTTTCTCGTTGACCGAGTGGTCACAAGTGCGACTGCCAGGTAAGGGGTTTCGGGTTCGATTCCCGGGTAGAGCAAAGAAATACTGGGTTTAAAAAAAATCTCAGTAGTAGCACGGAGTCTGGAATTGTGCCCGGTATATGGCAATAGGTACACCGCCTGACTACTATCACATGGCACTCAATACATAAATAGTGAAAAGTGGGTGTTACATTGCACAGTGGCATTAAGTGCCGTAATGTGCACCTCTGCCTACCCCTTCGGGCATAAAAAGGCGTGATGTTATTTTATCATTCATTTTCCGAAGTCACAAGGAAGAGGCAAGAAGAAGACAAAAAGTGCACATAAAGTTAACTGATATTTATGACGGTATGGGCCTCATGTAACAGCTCTGTACATGTACCATGGCACTATTGAAAGTACAACAACAGACTATTTGAAACCCAAAAAACTATAACAATCTGGAAAGCAACCATGCTCTTTTAAAGTCTTAATACACTTCAATCCAAGTGTCACATTCGTACTTATAACTGACGTCCAAACATGGATGGGTGACCACGTCTTGCATGCACAGTTCATGTCTCTTTCTTAGAGACAGTACCGGAACATTTATGTCAGTCATCAGCGGTGGTTGGAAGCCGGAAAGTCATACAAAGGGTCCACGAAAGTCGGTCAGAAGGTCATTTTTAGGTCAAGCCATGTGATATTGGGTTTGGAATGGAGATAAAAGAAGTACCCACTTATCAAAGTAAAATGACATACCCTAATCGAGTTTTGAAAGGATAAAAGAAAACTGATAATTGGTTTGTTATCGCGATATTGAAATATTAACTTCAGTGCTCTTGACTGCCTCGTTGGCCGAGTGGTCGCAAGTGCGACTGCCCTGGCCCTGGGTTCTCGGGTTCGATTCCCGGGTCGGGCAAAGTATTACTGGGTTTTTTAAAAATCTCAGTAGTAGCACGGAGTCTGGAATTGTGCCCGGTATATGGCAATAGACTCATCCCCTATATGTAATAGGGGGTGAGCCTATGTCTAATCCTGGGACACATAACATAAATAGTGAAAAGTGGATGTTACATTGTAAGTACAGTGGCATAATATGCACCTCTGCCTACCCCTTCGGGGATAAGAGGCGTGATGTTAAAAAATGTAATAGTACATTTCCATCTACCAGAACTGGTTAAAATCCTTCATAAAAGGTCAGGAAAAGAAACAACGCAACAAAGAATAAACTATCAATAGAAATATCATGCCTCCACAAAATCAATTCAGCATTATCGCTGATTCGTTCCACGGAGACTTGTATTAAATATCTGCGGGCATTGGGCAAAATGATCACACTCGACCCGAGCCTCGCACTCCACCTACACAAGAAAGAATAACGAGTCGATTTCAAAAATATATGTGAACAAGGAACCGTGGCGATTTATTGAAAGTTCATAGACTAAGTAGAGGTTTAATGTCTATACTTGATAGAAACTTATAGCCTTTCCTAAGGCCGACCTATCACTTCTTTTTCGAGCTACGAGAGAATTTATTTCAGGGACATATGGGCCACGTTACGAGAAAGATATGTTACATTACAGTACTGTAGGAAGTAACCAATTTCACAAGTCTAATTCTGTGGTCGGGACTCTTTGTAGTAGGTATATGTATCGCATTTAATATTAATGCGTCGTTGATGAAATTGAAGATGTATGCGTACTGTAATTAACGCGGAAGTTTGTTTGTAATGAGTTAATTGTTAGATACTCTTTTCCGCAATATTGAGTGTACTTTTACTGATGTGTATGGATATAATATTGCGTATGAATTAGTAATATTGTGTAAGGTTTAAAAAGTTAGGAAGATATAACATCTTTTATAAGTATAACTAGTGCCACACAATTTAAATGATAACTTCTTGATGAAGAATTTATTTGACGAATGATATCTTCTAAAACATCTAATTAAAATTCAAATATCTTTACTGCTGAACACAGTAGGTAGGTACATATAGATGCATTGCAAGATGTTAGATGAATGCTCGGTTCACCATGTTCCACCAATTAAGGCATGCAATTATTATAAAACATACAATTATTTACTGCATAAAACAAACGAATAACTTCCTACTAAAAGTAAATGAAACAATTAAAAGTAACATGAGCTACAGTAAATATAAAAATATCGCTTTCCGTATTAAAATCCAAATATTATCAGCTTACATTACCTACGAGGTATGATTGACACAAACTGCGCAACTTATAACCAACAGCTAGAACTAACGTTCACCATATTAAAATACAATCTAAATCAAACATTACAAAATAAGACGAACATCTCCACGTGTTGCAATGCACAAAATTGCAGCCATTATTCATACATCACCATAATTCTATCATGTTTCCCTTTCATACCGCCATGCCGTGTGTACCGTAGATTTTAATCGTTTTAAATTAGCCAGAGACAATGAATAGTAAAATATTCGGCCTGCATGGTCAGGCACCGTGAGCTATGATTGTTTCTGGTAAATTAATGCTCTGGAAATATTTAAATTCGTAGTAACTGCACTTTAAATAAGTATCAAAAATCTTTAGGAATATTTTTATCAACATTTCACGTTATGTCGAATTTAATTACTTACCTACTGTAAATAATCAATTCCCTAAGACATTTTTTAAATTTGAAATCGATGGAGGTAATAACTTAAACAACATAAGTACAAAATAAGTCGATAAGGTTCTTCGACAACAATAAGTAATTTCACCGAGTGAAATTGTCATGGTCACGATAAATCAAATACGTCTATCACTTTGAAACTGATAACAAAAATAAAACCTGAAGAAAATCTCTTGGAATCATTTAAAATTTCGCAACAAAAATATCTCAACAAAATAATCAAGTAGTTTAAATTATTTATTTAATGAAACATGCATAAATTCTAAGTATTCTACTTACCGACACAAGTTGCGAAAACAAATAAAATAAACAATTGTACTAAAATGTTCCACCGCATCTTCATCTTGGTAATTATACTTTATTGTTCACAAACCATTTCACAAATACAAACTTGTTAACAACAACACAGTATTTACTTGATAACTGCCAAAATGTGTTCACATAATTTAATTTGTCTTTCATACAATAAGTCACTTCACAACGAAAACACAAAACTTTACAAAAATCCTCATTAATTTGTCCTAAAAAATCATCAAATAAAGTTCCGTCCAAAAAAAAACAAACGTCAAAATTCAAATATCGTACGTATACGAAATTTGGCGCGAAGCGTTCACTGTGTACGCGAGTAAAGTTCGGAATGTAGTGTGTAAAGGCACGCATACACTACGCGGTGGTGATCGACCCCACCGGAACCACAGTCGGTGGGCGCGCGACTGCCGACTCCATGTGCACCGCACCGAAACGTAACTTAAAACCAACTTAACGTTTGCAGACTCGTAGCTCTTATGCCTTTGAAGATAAAGACTGTTTCCTAAAGTGTCTTTTGACAGAACCTACTACTAATGATAATGGTTGTAGTTTTGTAGAGCGTACGCGCATAGAAACGCTGTCACCCTATTGAAGGTATTGTTACGGAAGGCGATTGGAAAACAAAGTAACGTCGAAAAAAATGGACAGATAAAGACAGAATTACACAGTTAAATGGAATGCGACAGACGCATTACGAATGAATGAAGATACAATATAATATGTATGCAGTTTTTATTAGTCACTGTTTACATTTTTACCGAAACCATGATTGCTATGTTGACGTTATTTTTAGTGGCAATAATAAAATAAATTCGTTCATTTTTTATTTAGTGCAGCACCTGCGGTTAGCGTGGTTGATACGGTGACACATGCACGATATGTGCGCCGCAGTTTGTGCAATATTGTGCATGGCACAGTTCAAATATCAATTTGTAACTTGTAAGTACTTACGTTGTGTTGTTTGGTACGGTTCAGGTGCGCCGAGTGGCCGCCATTTGTCTCTAGCCCCACACGAATATTTACTTCTGGAGTTAGGCGATGCAGGCAATTTATGCTAATTATGATTTATTTTCCAGTAGGTACTTACCAGGACTCGCAACTCACTTGAGAACTAGAAATTTCTACTAAAATTAGTTTTCAAATTATACTCAGCGTGTCACAGTGTCACTATATAAATATTATATAGTTCACTAATCCTATAAAAGGATTTTAGTTTTTAATTTGACTTTGTTGTAACATGAGTTGATTGGAAGTCCGCCATGACATTGTAATACTGCGATGCAATTAACGTAATGCGAACGATATTATTGTCCTGTTTAATTGATTCAAGGCAACCCTGCCATATCTGTTTCCCTTTCCATGAAACTGTAGCAAATAGAAATTAATTAGAATAAGAAAAGAAACGAGGACAAAGCGTAAACATAATTTAATTATCCCTAGTACTTAAGCCCCTTGTCTAATCTAGACACATTTTAGCGCGGTATTCTGTATTAAAACCACGGATTAAAAGCTAGTACTTATGATGAATTATTTTATTTACATCTTTTACTGTGTCTACAGTCTCTATCTAGTAAACACTGGGTAGAGTCATACATATTTTCAACATTACCATTTTGTAATAAAATTGAAGATTAAAAGACTGTAGATATTTTTGGATACCTTGATGTACTGGAAGATACTTTCAGTATTCAGACGTGTAAATGGGCCCTATTAGGGTTGATGCCGACAAGGAGCGTAGACGCGGTGAGCTTAATGGGTTGCCGGGGCTCAGGTCCGAAGTACAGCAATAGGAACGGGGTGGTTTTTAGTCAGTAAGAGTGTGACTCTCCCTCTTGCTTCACCCGGGCGGGAGAAGTGATTCGATTTCCCCCCTCAAAAAAAAAGTATTCAGACGTAAGTATAGACTTATGTGTATGCTAAGCTTATGCCTCACTCCCCTAAAGGCTTCCAGATCGGTCGGCATATACCTACCTGTTTTATTATCATCATCATTATATCAGCCACAGGACGTCAAACTCAAACTCAAACTCAAAAGCATTTATTTCAATTAAACCATAATTTGGTACTTTTGAAACGTCAACAAATATGAAATAAATAATAGTCTGTCAGTCTGTCCATCAGTGAAGCTAGGCGCTCGTTCCAAAATGTCGATTCGAGTGGAGAAGAACGAGCAAGAAACTCCATTCGTTACTCTTTTGAAAAAAAGTCTGTTTTACATTGCGTCCTCTGCTGAACATAGGCCTCTCCCAATGACTTCCAGATAGGCCGGTTGGAAGTTGTTAACCTACCTGTTTACCATTATTGAATTATTTTTGGACATAGCTTGACCGCTGGAGCTCAGCAGCTAAGTTATTTTAACCCAGCCAACGACACTTTCTTCCGGTAAGTCATACTTTTTGTAACAACACATGTTTAACTTTAGACCGGCCATCTGTGAAACTATTATACGCACTTTGTTGCATGTTATTTTTTTTATATTGACATCTTCAAAGGTTTCTTCCCGAGGCCCAGCGGTACGGACAAAAGTAAAAAAAGTTAATAGCACATGCAAACAAATTGCTTTCTTTGTTTCACAATTTGGAACTAATTTATGGCGTAAATAGAACTGTCAACAGTAAACCTAGGATGTAAACTACAAATACGGTCCGTTTTTGTAATCACGCGTGAATGGCTGGACTGATTTCACTAATTCTTTTTCTGTCTTATTTGTTCTTAGACAGACTAAGACTTTTGACTTAAGACGAAAAAATCTTGAAAATCCTACAGGAACGGGAGAAAACAGGACTGCGCCTACGAAGTCGCGGGCAAAAGCTATTAAAAAATCAATACATAGTATAAAACAAAGTCGCTTTCGCTGTATGTCCGTATGTATGCTTAGATCTTTAAAACTACGCAACGGATTTTGATGCGGTTTTTTTTAATAGATAGAGTGATTCTTAAGGAAGGTTTGTATGTATAATACATGCATATTGCACCCGTGCGAAGCCGGGGCGGGTCGCTAGTATATTTATATTTTTTTTTTCCTTACTCGGCGCCGCACCGTGCCCTGGTTTGAAGAGGAGACTGTTTCTGTTCAGGTAGGCCAGGTCTTTCTTGTCTTTCAAACATTGACTAGGTTTATAGACTTAGGTACTCGTATAAATTACTCAGTCCATTACACAGCGACATTAATTTATCATAGTGTAAACGTATGAAAAATTACAATAGGTACCTACCTATTTAAGTAAGTAGGTAAGCCTACCTACTTGCTTAAACCGCCCTTTTTTTTTGTCCCTGGTAAAATACTTTATGTATCATCCTCCCGTGGGGGGACGGGAGGGATATGTGGGACTCTTCTTCCCACTAAAAACCCAGGAGCACACCAGCGTCGCCATGTGAGGGGGTCTGGGAGACCGGATGAACCTTTACGACCAGGACTGCTTAAACCGCCCTAAGCGGTAACATTATTAGAACCATCTTTTGTTTTTTTTTCAGGCGGGAAAATCATCGAATGACCTTCCCCCCGGGTGAGGCGATAAAGGTAGTGGCATACTCTTAATGACTAAAAACCACGCCGTTCTTACTCCTGCACTTCGAGCCGGAACCCCGGCAACTCGTTAAGTTCTCCACGGCTGCGACCATCTTGGAAGCATCACACAGGTAAACTGAATACAGTAAGTACTCAGTACAGTACTCTACCTACTTACTCTCACAGACATAATCTATATCTATCTATTTAGGGACTGCACGTTTGGTGCGGTGGCTGGGCAACCAGCTGCCGTGCAACGTTATGCGGGTTCGATTTCCGCACGGAACAACACTGTGTGATCCACAAATTGTTGTTTCGGGTCTGGGTGTCATGTGTATGTGAACTTGTATGTTTGTAAACGCACCCACGACACAGGAGATAATCCTAGGGTGAAGCAACGTATTAAAAAAAAAGAAAACAAAAAAGAAAGGTATATAAATAAAAATGAATTAAGTACCGTTCGTTAGTCTTGCTGAAACGGCTGAATCGATTTGGCTTATTTTGATCTTGAAATGTTCGCGGAAGTCCAGAGAAGGTTTAAAAGGTGAGAAAAATCTTTTATAGCCGGATTTGAGTTGGCGGGATCTGTTAGTATTTTGTATAATTACCTATGGCAGTACCTAATAACCTGCCTATTACTTCCTGTAGCATGGAGTTATCATCGCCAGTCGCCTAGCTTACTTCATATTTTTTATTCCAAATCTACTTAAAACAAACACTGAAATAATTTACGCAGCACAATTAATTCAATATTTCTGGATAATTCTGGATTTCTTCATCCAATCCAAGATCATTGAAAATAGAATAAAATTAAAAACGTAGTTATACATTTTCCAATCTGAGTTCCTTTTATGCTAGAAAATGGCGGGAAGCCATTAGTCAAGTCATTCTAAAAAAAAACTTGGACTAAAGAGTTGTAAAGTGACAAAGTTTTTCTTGAAAAATCTAGAAAGAAGGTTCGAGACTTGGAGGTTGCGCGTCGGGATTAGGCGAGCGGGATTAAATAAAGTAACAGAAAACGTACTAAAAGGCTACGAACTATTTTAAACCTAATTGATTGTTGAGGCGAGTTTATTGCTATTTAAGTAGGTATCTATTTTTGTTGTAAATAATTATAGTACAGCAGATACCTATTGCTATAAACTTACAAATGTAGGTACTCACGTTTATACAACGTTTGGGTCTCAAAACCCAAAGATAGATTGGATCAAGTACTTAGGTACCTAATTACAAAGTCAAAGTCAAAGTCAAAGCGTTTATTGCAACTAAGTGTACAGATGGTCTTCGTATGACTGCTTTCATAAAAATCATAACAATTGAAAAGGAAAAGGCAATAGACATTTCCAGTATTTTTAACACATTACAGCCAGCATTTTCCGTAGTAGGTAGGTACTTAAGCGTTTTGTTAGATGTACCCAATACCTATTATCTAATGATTATTACGACTGATTAGGTACGACATAATTTTATTTTATTATTTTGTAAACTTACTTATTACGAAAATATAATTCTGTCACAGCCAAATAAACCTAATTAATAGTGCATAGATAAAATTAAATTAAGGTCTCGCTGATTTTAACGAAAAAGTAATCCCTAGCCATACCTACATTTACCAAAAAAAAAAAAAAAAAAGAAAACACAAACGTCATTTCCAGTTTTTTGACACGTTAATATAATAATTTTGAATGTCCGAGTGGGGGACAACTATTGAGTTTTCGAGTGTTTTGAAAATTCTTGCAATAATACGATATCTGATATTTGGCCAAGACTTAGGCAATCGGCTCACCCCGTAGGTATTTGGTATCTACATGGAACGCATACCATAACTAGTGATAAGCAAGTATTACTTAGTTTAATACAGGCATTCACATCTGTCTACTGTTCA